ACGCACACGCACACGCGCACGCGCACGCGCACGCGCACGCGCACGCGCACGAGCACGCACACGCACACGCACACGCACACGCACACGCACACGCACACGCACACGCACACGCACACGCACCCGCACACGCACCCGCACCCGCACCCGCACCCGCACCCGCACACACACACACACACACACACACACACACACGCACGCACGCACGCACGCACGCACGCACGCACGCACGCACGCACGCACGCACGCACGCACGCACGCACGCACGCACGCACGCACGCACGCACGCACGCACGCACGCACGCACGCACGCACGCACGCGCGCACGCGCGCACGCACGCACGCACCCACCCACACACACACACACACACACACACACACACACACACACACACACACACACACACACACACACACACACACACACACACACACACACACACAAACACACACCCACACACACACACACACACACACACACACACACACACACACACACACACACACACACACACACACACACACACACACACACACACACACACACACACACACACACACACACACACACACACACACACACACACACACACACACACACACACACACACACACACACACACACACACACACACACACACACACATGACAGAGGGTGCCCCATTGACACAGGATGAGACAACACAAGTGAGCCAAAATCAAAGCCCGGGTAGATAAAGGTTAGTCGGGGATAATCCCAACCATGGGTGTCTTGGCCGCCCGTCATAATTCTTTGCCTGGGTAGACCATTTTGGTGGGTTTGAGTCTGACTCAGGTGGTTGACGTTTTTAGGTGTGCCATTTCAGGCGGCAGGGCGCAGCATCCCGGTGACCTGGCGCCCCGGGGAGGAGGATGTCTTCATGCTGGCCAGGCGCTTCCAGGAGCAGAGCTAAATGGGTGCCCGTAGAAAGGGGCGCGGGGGTCCGGCGTCTTCTTCTTTTGAGGCTCGGTGCCCCTTGTTTGGTCGATGTTTTGTTGTTTCTCTTTTTTCCCATGTTTTTTGTATTGTTTTTCCGGGAAACCTAGGGACAGCCACCAGTTTTTTTGGGGGGTCCCCCTAAAAAAGAGACATAGTCGAATAAGGGTCCAACCCAGTCCGACCAACGGTGTCCTGCCTTTTGGTCTCGCTGAACAATTACCAATTAGGGGGGGGGATTGCGAGAAACTCACCACTTTTCGGCGGTTTTGAACATCACCATTGGGGCTTATAGATGAGTTCTGTTGGTGGGGTGATGCTTTAAGCGGGAAAAATGGGGAAGCCTGAGCAAAGCAGGCGCCAAGCGTATTGCTTTTTGTTGTTCACTGGACGTTTCTCCAAAATACGTTCGGGGGGCAGGGATGTGGAATCTGCGGGCTTGGTTCCTTCGTGACACCAGAGAACCTTCCATTTGAATGAACTAGTCACTAGTCATGAGAGAAGCCTACTACCGATATCACAGAAGTGGGCGAACCCCCTACAACCCCGTTATGGGCTGGACGCTGTTGTATTGTTCCCCTGCAGTGCCAGCTAATCCAAACCCGTTTGGGCTGGGGCAAATTCTGCGTCCGGGCAGGTTCATTGCCGCTGAACCAATGAGATTTGTCCCTTGCCTTGCATCCAAACCCGTTCTTGGCAGGATTCACGTGAACACGGCGTCGTCGGACATGGCAAGTAACTCGCAGCACTGGTAGTCTCAGTAGATTGGCTCCGACTTGCGCATTTTGGCACCTCCTTTTTTTCACTTGTGGCCGCGGGTCAAAGTCCAGCTCCACTCTCAATGCAACGCGCTCCAAATGCAACAGCGGTGATCCTCTTCATAGATTCCTTTGAGCATCTATGAATTCCAAGCCTTATTCGAATCACCACGGGAGGGAGCAAAAAACCAATGAAGCAAATGATCGCATTTCGCCTGGCTACTGACACCATGCAACGACATATTTTCGGCCGGCACCCGGCCTAATTCTCCGGCCCTTTTTCCCTCTGGCGTTTTTCTTTTTCTCGAGGAGAAGCACTGGGAGCCTCACTACTGGGAGCTGCAGCAGCAGCTGCGGCTGCGCCGCGCCGAGGCGGCCGCCAGAGGGGGGGACCACGTCGCCGCGGAGTTCCCGCTGAAGCGCGGGGAGCGGCTGCAGGAGCCCAACCTCAGGACGCGGCAGGCGCGGACATGGCGCGTGGGTCTGTGCTCTTTTTTATTTTGGGGTTTGGGGGGGGCCAGGCCCACCCCCCGTTTTGGGGAAAACAAAGGAAAAAAGCCAAATCACCAATGTGTTTCTTTTTTTGGGGGGGCAGGCCCCCCTTTTTTTTGGAAAGACAAAGGAAAAACAGTTTGGCCATTTTTTTGGGGGTCCTTTTGAGGGGACACCAAAAGGAAAAGCGGGAAAACACCGTTTGGCGGGTCCGATTACCACAAAGAAACACACCCAATGGGTGGATGGGTCGATGGGTCGATGGGTCGATGGGTCGATGGGTCGATGGGTCGATGGGTCGATGTGGTTGGTGGTTTATTCCAGGCTTCATCCATCCCAACTGGTGCCGGGTTTCGTCCATCCACAGTATGGGAATGAACTTCAAGAGGTGGAACCACCGCAGACATGGTTGGGGGTTGCATACATTTATATCTAAACGATGTCCACCAAAGTGTCCCCAATTGAATCTGAAACCCGAATGTGGATTTTGGGATTTTGGCAGCTGGAGTCTCCGTGGCCCTTTGAACATTGTGGCTGCATTGCCGCAATCGTGCAGGGTCATAGAGAGTGCAGGTAAACATGCTTGGCTTCTTTCTCCCCAACACCGTTCTTGGCAAGTTGTTTTGTTGTTTTGGTTCTGTTCATTTTTGGTCGGCCGCCGGGGGAAAAAAACACAAAACACATTTGGTTCTTGCACGCCCATACCTCTTTGGTGAAGCAACCTTGCACGCGTCTTTGGCACCCACCTTCCCCGATCCCCGATCGGCTCGTTGCGAGTCGGTGATTTCGCTGTACATCGGCCACGATGCCTCGGTGGCGGTGAGCCAGAATGGGCGGGTGCAGTGCGTTCTGGAGCTGGAGAGGCTCTTCGAAGAGAGGCAAGAGACGTGTGGGCCGCTTGGGGCCTGGGATTTTTTTCTTTCGGGGAGGGGTGGGGAGGAAGGTTCTATCTTAGAAATCAGTTGCGTTGATAATCTTTTTGTTATATGAGTGAAATTGCTTTCATTGCTATTGGCATGTGGTCTTATATATTATTTCTTTGGAGAGTTGGGGCGGGGGTTGCTTCTTGGCTGGATGTGGGTTGGGGGACATCGCTGTTCTGATACACATATTGACCAATTGTCTGATTTGGCACCGAGAACGACATTGACATGGACTGCTTTGAATCTCTGCAGAATAGAACCACCATGTTTGCCAGGCGTACAGCAGGGTGCATGGACTAAACGATTCGCAGCAGCCGGTTTTCACATTCTCCGAAAACCGCTGTGCTTTGGAATTCTCCTCCAGCCCCGCATGGATGCTACTTTCCATCTTCAAAATCTCTGCAAGTTTGCTTTTTGTTTGGCCCTGACTTTCCAAAATCCAGACGTCGCGTGCCTTTGATTTCGAGTTTTTTTTGGTTTCCTTGACCATTTGCCTTTGACCCCCGTTTTGCCCTTTTGCCCTTTTGCCTTTTTGCCCTTTTGCCCTTTTTGCCGTTCTGCCCTTTTACTCTTTTGGGTTTCCATGATATCATCCCGCGTCAACCAGCAACAAAGTTCGCCGCTGTTCTCGGCGCCCGGATCCGAAAATCTGTGCAGGTACTTCCGGCCCAGCACCTTCGACCTGAACATCTTCCACCGCGACTGGCTCCGCGCCCTAAGAACCGTGCAGAGCCGCTGCGACGCCGAGGAGCCCTTGCAGCAGTTCACCAACGGCGCTTCTCGGTGCTTCAAGCCTGCCAAAAGTGCAGTCAACCGACACATGTATACGTATATTCTATACATACATGAATATATATATATATATGTAGAAGCTGGCGCCCAGGAGTATGTTGTCCTCAAAACACGCCGCTGCGAATCTTCAATCTTCCATGCAGGAGCTGGCATGTGCTAACACATTCCGTTAGCCCCAAGGATGCTGTTGACCAGATCAGGAAAACGCGCATGTTGCCTGCATTGTGCCAGTGTAAGTCTGATCGACCTGAGGACTCCAGAGACCATATATGCATACATATGTACATATATACATATATATATATATATATGTATATATATATATATATATATATATACATACACATGAACATCACTTTCCCGGCATCCGAAGCTATTTGCCACCTGCCGTGTTTCTTGGTGCTTGAGTATCCCGAGAGTCCGTGTTTTGAGAGGTCATCGTCTTCGCCAATGCGCGCGACTGCTCGCAGCTGGTTCTGATGACCATCGTCGAGGAGATCTTTTCCGTGGACCGTTGGCACTTTGTGGACCACCACGAGGCGACTTTTCTTTTATGCGGCGAATCGGGGCAGTTCGATGAGCAAAGGGGGTGTGTCTGTCGTTGTCTTGAGGGTAAAGCTTTTTGTGGGGGTCAAAGGAATACCGGGGTCCCTGACAAAGAAGACACACCCAACTGTTGAAAACAAAGCCCTTTTGGCTTCCCTTTGCAGAAACTCAGGGGCTTGTTCTGACGGGCGGCGAATCGTCCCCGCGAGGGTGCGCGTCGAACTAGGGAAACCCCCAGCAACGTCCTCTTTTGGGTTAACTTTGAACCAACCCAAGGGTACTGCGCCTCAAACAAACCCAAGAGTTGGTTTCCGCAAGCTGCGTTATTAAAAGAACCTACGAAAGAGGCCCAAGACCCTTTTGGTTCCCCCTCCCTCCCCCCACAATAGTGCTGACCCCTGATTCATCAACCCCCCCTCATTATTGCTGGAGCGTGGATCCCTCGTTTTTGCAAGGTCCCAGTGTCCCAGACCCCCTGATGTCCTACAGTTGTCAGGGGCACCGATACACAAAATGCAAACCCACAGGATCTGGATTGGACGGATAGCTCTACAGGGATAGCTCTGACCGTCGGAATTTTGATGAACATTTGGTGTTCCTTCTGGTTTCCCAAAAAACGACGAAATACAAGCTCTGATGAAGACTAGCCGGACTTACCATCATCCTGTCCACCAACATGGAACCCACCAGAGAAATGTTCCCTTTGAAAGGAAAATTCGAATCGTCTTCAGGGACCGATTCCTCAGACAGGTTCCATGGCAACGTGGAGGGGAGGGGCGCCCAGGGAATGACCTTCCGGGTGTTGGGAATGAAGGCTTTGGTCCCCAAGCCGTTTTTCTCGGGGTCTTTCCCCGATTTCCCTTGCCGATCGCAAGTAGATGTTGACCCAGGATTTTGTTAAACCGTCCCATTAGTAGGGGGGTGTGAAAATGTTCCCTCCAAAAGTTCTCTGAATCCAACCACAAGGAATTGGACCCCCCTAGGAAAATCCACCACACCTTTCCGAGGCCCACGCGCTGCTGGGCTTCTGGGCCTCCCCCTTCCGCTCCGCGCTGATCATCTCCTACGACTCCTCGGGGAACGACGGGTCCTTCAACGCCTACGTGGCCCAAAGCGTAGGTTGGGCATGGGGTGCAGGTGGCCATTCGCTAGGTGGATACGTCGAGCTGTGTTTGGTGTTTGCAGGTTTGATGGGAAGTTGTCTGGCAGTGACCATTTCTGGTGCCCAGCCGTCCGGTTCCGGTTGTTCAGGCTTTTAGCTGGTTGGGTGAGGGTTTTGCATTGCACCCACTAAAAGTTAAACTGTTAGCAGGGTATCTGAGGACAGCCCAGATTTTGAGGAAGGCTTGGCGGTTTAGGTGGATCTTGTTTTTTTGGGGGGTACCTTTCTGGTTGACCACCCATTTTGTGGGCACCCAGGCTGAATTGAATTGTACAGGTTGAATCGGTTTAGTAGGTTGAACCTGTTTTCTAAGTTGATTTGGTTCACTCCGCGGAATTTTGTTACTAGTTTAGATTGGTTTATTGGTTTCAGTTCAACAAGTTGGATCCATCTTGTGTGTTTTACCGGGAGGCCAAAGGAAAGCCGAGACCGCCACGGTTTGTGGGGAATCGGATAACACGGTTTGGCCGGGCTCATGGGTGAGCTTTGCCCGTCGCCGAAAGGTCCTGAGCTGCGGCGCATCGCGCAGCTGGATTACTCCATGGGGGCCTATGAACAGCTGGCCACCTTGCTGCCGGAGGTCACGGGCATCCCTTTGCGCCTGCCTTATGGGTTTTCCCGAATTTCTCGTAGTACAAAGTGCTACAGTAAAAGAGACTCCCATGGCATTGTATGGGATGACAAGAATGATTCGTAGAGATACACGCTGCCTGTACAGTATTAGAGATTCCCATGGGTTGATGGCACGAATTGGGTTGACTGCGCATGGCTTGGCCTGAGATTGGGTTGACATTCCCATGGCATTGTATGGGTTGGCCTGAGATTGATTGGGTTGACTGCCGGAACATCATCCGAGGGCCGACTTCTTCGACTGCTCCAACCTCACGAGCCTCGCGCAAGAGCCCTGGGCGCTGATCGTGCCGCGGCAGCACTACTTCGAGCGCTCGGACGCGTCCTTGAGCTGGGCCGGGAAGCTGATGGGCTACGCTGCCACGGGCCAGGTGGACGAGGACGTTGCGGGTCCAGTTTCTCCTGCATTTTTTTTGTGGGTGCTTGCGAGTCATCCATAAGACCCACCGACCCAAGGGTTTCTGATTTTCAACGTAAGTAGCAACAAACGTTAGGGTTGAATTACCATGGCTTCATTTCGTGCTGCGATTTCCGGATTTCGCAACCATCCGCAATAGGGGACCTTTTTTTTGGAAGGGTTTAAAGGGAAACCAAAAGGAACCCACGTTCCCGGAGGGGTCCCCCAACACGCACTGAGGGGCCAGTATGTGCGTATGTTTGTATACATAAACACATGCGCGGCACGCATGACGCACACACACACACACCGACCCTACAATACCAGCCTTCGAAGCGCAGACTACCAAGCCTATTCTTGAAGACATTCAATCGCTGAATCGAATTGTGAGTTTTAGGCGTGCACACATAGCGATACGTACATACGTGAACAACTATGCATGTGACTATGAATATGACAGGTGTCACATAGATATGCCTGCATATACGCATGTGCTAGCCCCCACTAGCAAGGTGCTTCATGAGTTTGAGATTCGTGGCTCACCTGAGCAGTATCTAGCCCCCACACAACTAGACAGAGACAATGCAGTTACACGTGAAACATGCACCAAACAAAGGCGGTTCCACGGACAATACTCCAAACACTTGGGAAGGATTCTTGAGGTATTTCCCGAGGCAAATGAGGGACATCCGGGTGAAGAGCTGGAATTCGCAAAGACTTCCTACTGGATTAGAAATTTTATTCCTAGGATATGATCATGATTCCAGACTATGCTTGCACAAAGGCCGTGACGTGAGAATTAGCAGAAGCTGCAGCATATACTAGAGGACTCGTTTAATGCGTTCTACGGCATCTAAGGGTGAAGAGTGGAATTTTCAAGGACTAGTTGTCAAACATCAACCCAGGAAGTGTTTTGACTGACGATTGAGAATTCCCGGGACCTTCAATCAAAACTGCCTCTCAAGTGCATTTAGGCCATTCAGAACAGGCAAAGATTGAATCTCAGAGCTTTAATTGTTTGATTCTGCAAGCCCGGCACGAGTAATGAGCTGCCTGTTACTCTCATTTCACACCCAGACTGATGTGCAAACTGATGCACATAAGGAAGGCTTTAGTGTGACAAAGAGAAGAGCTCAAGATTCAAAGACAGCATCAGCGAATGCATCTTTGCGGCGTCAGCCATATGTGCATGGACACCCATTCAGTGTGAAACTCCTAATTGCTCTCAAGCAAAGCGCGAAGCTTGGTTGGCGACATTTATATGTCACAGGTGCATCATTGCTTCCTGAACTCTCAGAACATTTTGAGCTGCCCTGAAGCCGCAACGAGGCGTTGGAGTCTCCGTCGCCTTGGACCGCAGTTTGCCCCACAGCATTGTTGAAGCTGAAACATTTACACATTTACTCCACAATCACTTGCAGGGCCAAGACCCTCTTATGTCTAGATTGCCCGAGGCCTCTTTCAGCTCTTTCAAAATGACAAGCTTGTTGGGCTTGACTAAACCGATCAAGAGACCACAAACAATACACCCTCCCTCCTACTAACATGGCACCTGACAGAGGGTCCCTTGAGGACATTGATCTTCCAGGTACCCTCTCACAGGTGCCATGTTGGGAAGCCACTGAGTTCCTCTCGAGAGGAGCTGCGGCCCTTGGTGCGTTTCTTCTTCGAGGCGGTGGGCGCCTTCCCCGGCGTGGGCGCCAGCATGCCGCGGGGCCTGGTGGCCGCGGCGTGCGGCGGAGCCGCGCGGCAGCGGGCGGTGGGCGCCACGGTGCAGGAGGAGTTTCAGAGCTTCGTGAAGGAAAGGGTGCAGCTGCTGCTGGAGCACGTGGGCGTCAAGGAGGCGCCATGCGTCATTTTTGGGCTGTTTCCTCCCGGTGCGCTTTTTTCTCTCCTTTCTTGGGGCAAGGCTTCCCCTTTGAATTCAACCAACGACAAAAAGGGTGCCCTTTTTCCATGGCTACTGGGCATCTGAGTTTCGGACCGTGTTTTGTTTGTGTATGTTGTTGTTTTCCATTTTTTCGGCAAATGATGCGAGTGGGGGGGGGGGGGGGGTCAGAGTTATTGATATGATAGAAACCGACCCATACTGGACATGCGAGGCCCCGAATATGCCTCTAGTGTCCAGGCTTCTGCTGGAAGCACGGCAGAGAATTGGTTGACCCCCATTCTGTTCACCAATCGTTCCTTTGAGAAGCACCCACATATCGTCAGTTTTCAGCCATTTCTGAAAAGCTGAGAAGGGAAAGTACAGCCAGAAGCACGTCATTCCAAAAGGATCCCTGATGGGGGCCAGCGGGCCAGAGGGCCAGCTCCAGGTGGATGGTTTGGTGATCACCGGGGGCTGCGCCTTGAATGTGCTGACCAACCAACTCCTCCACGACAGCGTCCCGGTGAATTGGTAACCTCTCTGGTTGCTCCTTGTTGCCCTTTATCTCCCAGGTTTGGGGGATGGTTTCGAACATGATGTTTTTTTTGGGTTGATTGTTTAAAGCATGCCTGGTGGCAATGGTTCAGGGTCGACGGGGAACGCCTATTTGTTTGGTAAACCGGAGGTTGCCCCAAACAGGCCAAAATGAATGCGGGTTGTTTGCTTTCCTTTCCCTACCAGCCCAAACGGTTTTGATTTCACCGTTTTCCGAGAAACCGAAGGTGGTTCCGGTCGGTTCAAGCTCGTCCGAACTCCCTGAACTTTGTTGGCGAAATCTAGAAATCGCACCGCAAAATAGAACCATGGTTGAGACCGTTGGTTGAAATCAACTATCATTCCCTTGGGTTTCTGAATAGGGGTTGTCCCCTTTTAGTGGTTGGATTGAGGCCACTTGTCTTTGGAGGCCACCCCCATTTCTCTGTGCTCGAGCGGGAAAAATCCGACGACTTCGAGGACAAAAATGACTCTGTCTTCGGACAGCGAATCCAGTGGAACCATGACTCGCCCTTGGCGCGAGCGGAAAACAAAGAAAGAAATCTCAAACTCCGACGCCTCGCCCTCGCGCCATGACTCCACACCATGACTCGCCCAGCGTCGCCCGTAGGCCTGGGCGCCGCCTTCTACGTGCCGGCGGCGCCCAACGACAGCGGGCTCACCGTGGGGGGCCTGTGGTCCGTGGCGGCCCCCAGGGTTCGGCAGCCGCTGCAGCGCCTCGGAGCTGCGAAAACCCCGCGAAGACCCCGCGAAGCGCCGGTGCAGCCACCGGTTTTAGGGGGTGTTTTCGGAAAAAGCTGTGCGGTGGCTAGAAAAAGGGGGTTGGAACTTCTAGATGTTGCTGGGCTTGGTAGTTGAAACATCCTTGGCTTGAAGGTTCTTGGTCTTTTTGAAGGGGTTTGCCCTAGCCTGAAGCCTGGAACGGGGGCTCCAGTTTCCCGAAAGTGTGCTATCAAAGCAGTTCAATCGGGGCACCAACTCAAAAAAAGAAACACCAATTTTATGGCAAGCTCATCCGATTCGGGGGCAAATCGAGCGATGCCAACCCAAGGTCCTTTACTCGGGGATCCCTTCAATTGCAAGTGCAAACACATGGTGTCCTGTTGAGTTTGCGCACCGGCCAAAAAAGGCCAGCATCGGTTTGTCCCGGAAGCAGACAGCAACAGGGGCATTTGACTTCCTTCCAACATCGGAACATCGAGGGTAGCTTGCTTGGAGCTGTCCGGCAAGAAGCCCGACCTGGCAAAGACGTCTGGTTCCCAAAGCATGCTTGAGAGTTCGGGGAGTCCACCCAATTTTCCCGCCAAGATCAGCGGGACAACCAACTAAGAGTGGTTCGGGGCTCATGTGGCCATGGGTCATAACGTATGCCTCCATTTTGGGGCGGATGAACACCCATGTAACACCTATTTTGATGTTCACCAGGGGTACCATTGGTTTTGACCCACAGCCATGTGTTTCTTCCTTCGGCTATGGCCCGCACGGGCTGCGCCAGACGCACGAATATCGAGGTACTTGGGCTTCCGGCTCTGGGACGAGGCTCTGCTGCCACAGGCGGCGCGGAACCGCGGCGCGGTGCGCCTCGCGTCTTTGGGAGGCGCTCGGGAGAAACCGGATGGGCCTGACTTCTGCTTCTGGAGTTGAGATGTCTTGGTGGTTCCCAGCCGCAAAACCCTTAGCTTATTAGCCTTGTGTTTAGTTTCCATTTAGCCCACTCAAAGTTATTCACTTTGAGCGGGGGATCTGAAAACTGACAGCCCAGATGAGACTTCCAGAACCTGTGACCTGTGGCTTTTGGTTGGCATAAGCGTCAGTTTGGATGCGCGTGAGCTGAGTTCTCGGCCTTTCGGGAGGAGTGGAGTACCTGGCCCAGCTGCTGGCCGGCGAGGGCAGGCCCTCGGAGGGCTCCCTCGAGCTTCGGAGTCTGAAAGTACAAGACCTTCGACCCTCGGTTTGTGGCTTTGATTTTTGTTGGGATTACGTGAGGTTGGGATGCCCACAGGAGCTTGGGATGTTCAGTATTCAAGAAGTTTGAGGGAGACATGTGAAGGTTGGGATGCCCACATGATCAAGATCCATAGGGCATAGGAGCTCGAGGCGTGCAATTGCTAGATTTGTTGGTCCCCCATGTGCCCCACCGAAGAACAAGCTGAAACAGACTGAGTGCAATCTGTTTTGTAGGGGAGACCCCCCCTTTTTAAAATGGTGGTTTTCCTTTTGGTTTCCCTTTGAAGCCACACAACACAGGGTACACTAAAACGAAGAAGCACGCATTTGCAGAGCATGCGATTGGCTCTGGAGCAATGGGGTCTGACCCTCAATAATCAATCAACTGTTCCTCTTCAAAGAAGCTTTTGCCGGGAACGCATAGGACCATACTCGTTTGTCGTCAGTCAGAGCATAAGACTTGCGCCGCATTCCGATGACCCGGTCCCTTCCGGTGGCAGTGATTGTGCCATTGGGCTCCTCCAAAGCCAGGTTGCCTACTTCAGTCAATTGGAACCATGGTTGTATTTGAACCAACCACTGTTATCCAGCCAGACCAACATAGTGTGAGCATTGAGGGGTGGTTGGGGTTTGCTATCTCAAGAATAAGCCGTATGGCCTTTGGTTATCCAATTTTAATGTAGTTCACCATCGCTGACCCAACCCCATAGTTGCACCAAAGGGACTATCATGTATTGCTCGCGCCGCATAGGAGCCCATTGATCGAATCCATCCAGGGAGGGGACACTTTGGTGGGAATCCGTAGGACCGTGTCTGTTTCCAGACCCTCGAAATGGCTCAACGGTTTTCCTCTTGGTTTCCCTTTAAAGCCGAGCAGCTAAATGGGCTCCCTCAGAAACAAGGGGTACCGTTCGCATCTCCAAAGAGAGCCATGGCTCTTGGGAACTCCATTTCTGGAGGTGTTCAAGTTTAGAAGCTGGCATGGGACTTGAATGGGGCCAGTAGGCGAAAAAGATCCAAGAAATCCAGCAGTCCCCACACACCGAAGGAAGGGGCAGTAGAAAGGGTAAAACCGCCACCTCCCCTCGCCGACCTTCGCCGAAACCGCCTCCAAATCGCCCAAAGCCCGCCGACAGCGACCTTCGCCGCCCAAATCGCCAGGGGCAACTGGTCGAAGGCCCATCCCATCGTCGCGGTGGTGCGGGGCCGCCAGGAGTTCGGCCCCCGGGCGCTGGGGCACCGCTCGCTGCTGGCGGTGCCCAGCGCCCAGATGCGCGCCCCGGCCCAGGGGTTGGGAGGTCCCAACGTGGGTTTCGACTTGCCTTTCTCGTTGCTTGAAAAATCCGGGAAGGGAAGCCTGAACCACCCTGCTTGGTGAATCTAAACACCTCTTTGGTCCGTTTGTGGTGAGTTCGCGCTACCCTTTTGGGCTTGGTTTACAGGGAAGCCACAAGCAAAACCACAGAATTCGTTGGA